TTTACATCTATGCACCACGACGTTTTTTATTATCAACATTGCTCAGAGTTTTATGTACGCTCGTTATTCAGAATTATTGTATACTGACTATAAAGTGTGTTTATGGCACCTGGTCCCAAAAAGCAGATTTTCAAGATAGCAGTAAGATTCGTTTCGTGAAGGCTTACTTATCTACGCCACTGTGTACATTTTTACAATTAGGGTGATTGATGATCGAAGATAATCAAAAAAATAAAGAGATGGTTCACATTTAAGGCGCATGTATATCTACATACTGAGATATCGTTCGATATATTATTTTGATATCGTTAAAACGCTCTGTATAGCATCTTGACAGGAAATTTGAGGGCAGAACTTCTGCTAATTCTAATTGAAAATAGTGCTAGGTATAACATGGTCAGCTAATGCATACAATTGTCGAGATACAGGGTATATCTCAGGAACCGTTCGAGATGAAGAACTTGGCTTTTGCATCATTATCAGCTATATTTTTTTAATTGCCAGTGACGGAGATTTTAGGGTTGCCTGAAAGCCTAAACCACTTCTCTGGAACACCGTAGAAGAGTTGGCGATCTGGCTCTAATTTATAAATATTTCCAAAGACGATGCTCTTCTGAAATATCAACAATTGTTCCTCCCTTGGCAGTCCCCGCGAGATTAACCCGTCGAGTTGAGGCTTCGCACCCCTTCGTGGTCACTTTGGAGACCTGCAGAACATCTCTTTCCAAAGACTCGTTCATCCAACGAACAGCGAGGCTCTGGAACACATTTCCAAGGGAAGTGTTCCCCGAGGCATATAACCTCCAGAAATTTAAGAAGAACACCAATTCCTATACCTTATTTCCCTTGGTTCTCACGATGTTCTCTGAACATTACAGGATATCCCTTCTCGTGGGAACCAGAACATAAAAAAAATTTTGTAAATTTGTATATTTCTCGAGAATCTGATGCTGTGCCTGAATTTTCTGCATGAAATCTTCTTATTCCATGACAATCCAGCTGTTCGCAGCGACGTGGCAACGTTATATAATTTCAAACCCGTTACGTCACGTCCCCTCCCTCCATATATTGATTGGATGGCCTGACCTGACGCAACGTTCGGGTGGTTGGATACGCCCCTGTTATAATAAAATACCCTCATTGAAAACTCAAAGCCATATTTTTCACAAAGAATGAAACTAAATTGAATCATCTCTACCCAACTGTAATTTAAAAGAATCAAAAACTTTGAAAATATCGCTCTTTTGTAATAACCAAGCTTTATTATAAGGAGAAAAACGCCGATAGAAAGATTTTAAAAATATAATTTTGACTGCCATTGGTTGTAGTATAATTTCAAGAGAAAATTGCATATTTTTCTCATATTTTCCAATGCATATTGTGAAATGACATCGAACAAAGTTGATGTTCGATGGAAATGAGTAGTATATAAGCCATGAAATTATAGATCTACACCATACTTGTAGACAAAAATCATCGAGAAAATTTTTATTTGTTCTCTTTGAAAAAAGACCTTATTGAGGTGTAAACCATTTTACTAATGACTAATTTTTTCTACTCACATAACTAGAATGGCATTTAGCGAACGGATGTGTACCACGCTAAATGATCGATTAATCACGGATTGATGATATGTCATTTATTCAACAAACAAAACAACACATTACCATGGCAACACAGTTCTTCAAACACAGATTTTTTGACAACTGTCAACAGTCATTTCACGTCATTCCTTGTAATTAGACGAAATAACAAGTAGGAACCCGAGTATTGCCTTGATGGTAACGGTAGGAACCGGAATCGGAAAAGTTGCAAATAAAACGGATAAATAAAATGCAACCAAAGGTCAGCACCTATTAGTAAGCAAGCAATTTTTATAGATTTATACATGATATGTATCCTTTTTACTGGACACATCTACAACCAACGTGTCTGGTTGGTTGCCTGCAGTTGCATAGTATTATGTATTATGTTCTCATTTCCCATTCCCTTCGAATTACTTTAATTTTCGGAATTATGGGATCTTGTCGAAGAGAGTTCGTAGAAAAAGTATAGTATAGTAGGTATGTAACGCATTTATAAACTCTTCTAGACACTCGTTCATCAAACACTATATGTAATTATGTAAATACACCGAGAAATAAACAAATAATAGATAGACGAACATTATATAATTACCTGAGCAACATAAAAAACATTAGCATGAAATGTGCTGTGTGTCAATACAGGGTGTAGATGAATAAGTGCGAAAAATTCAGGAGATGATTCCTTGTCATATTTTATGGAAAAAAGGGCATTACATTTTTCCTATTTTGCTACGTTTTTCACACATACAATCATGCATGATGATATCAATGTTTTCATGAAAAATCGTTTTTTATCAATAATTACTAAGTCTTTGTCAATATCAATGAAACAGGTGTTTTCATTAACAGTAGCATGGAGCCTATTTTGGTATAATTGGATTCGAAATTATAATTTCAGTGGCGTCGCACTGGAAAATTGAATCGTTTATGCTACCTCAAAATACGAGGGCGTTACACTTGAAATGGGACTCACTGTATATATTCTTCAGAATGAAATGATGATATGAACGATGGAGAGGAGATAAAAAAGATAACTAAAAAACTCTTCTGCCGTGATTGATCACTTAGGTATATTTGGCAACATTGTTCAGGTTCGTGTACGCTAACAGTTGCGCTGGTCGTCATTTGTTTATTGTTTATTATTCATGGAATAATTGATGTTTTGAAACTCCCTGGGATGGGACACCTATACCCATTACCGTGTTGATACTTGATAGCAGTGTTAGTTGATTGTTGCAAGGAAGGACAGTTTAGATCGAAAGCGAGGTTGAAAGTCAAGGGCTCATCACAATTCGTCATTTCTACGATTTTAACGAGGATTTTTATAGAGGCCATCCAAATCGCAGATCAGGCAGCCTCTCCACTTCATCCAAATCTCGCTTCAATATTCTAAAAAACCGCTAATTGCCAAATTTCGTGCGAATTATGCTCCTATATAGAAATGAATATTTGCAAAACAGTTCAAAAAACTTTAGCATGGAATTGGGCTACAGATCTTCATACTTTATTTCAATGATATGATGATTAACATGATAAAGATATTTGCCTATGATGAACATTTGTAAGTTTCATCTATGTTCATCTATGTTCTTCAATTCTTGTGTTTTAGTACCTTCCTGTTTGTCCAATATCTTTTTCGTTTAGCTTCAATCCACCATAATTCGTGTACTTCTATTACTATTGCGATATGTATATATTATATAATATAATGTGTCAGGTGTCAAGATAATTTTGATTTATTCCTGATCAGTTCCTTCTCAAGGTTTTGGGTGTCCAAACTAGCAAATTTTGATATCGAGTATAGAGTATTATTTTTTGATGAACTTTCGCAGAATTCAATGTGTGGTATTCAAGTATCGTCCCACTAACATTCGGTGTTTTTACTCATCTGATGACAGTGACTGCGAACATTTTGTGGTTAGGTTAGCAGAGACCTTGGTTGTGGTTTGTTGTTGAATGCATAATGCAATTCTCGATACTCAATTATTGCTGTCTGTTGCAGTTGTATCAGGGCTTGTTACCTAATTAATTTGAATTCTTAAAAAAAACATGATTATGTATAATATTATGATATATGATGCGAGGCTTTTTAGTCACCATACCTACAGTCCTCATCATAAATAGAAAAATATATTTTTTCTGTTCTGGAATGTTTTTTTTTTCTTCATTTGATCGTTGGGAATGACATGTTTTGGACTTAAATCAAATTTTGAAAACATTTAAACCATCCGAATACCCAAAAACACATTCTCCAAGTTTAATATTTGAGTAGGTATGGTAAAATTGAATCCGGAGAATCAGTAGAACACTGTTTTTTATTTTATTTCTTTGTGTATTTCACAAATTGGGAAGCAAATTCTGAAAATTTGATAATAGAGGGTGTTGGTTCGATCACACAAATATATTGTATTTTTTTTTCAAATTCGGACGTGATGGTATATTCAGAACCACCGATGTGATCTGTTTATCTACTGTTGACGTATGTTCATTTCCAGATGAAGCACCTGGTATTTTTTTTTTTCGATAACTTGTTTCCAAACTTATTCTACCACCTATTATAGACACACTTATTTTTTTTTTATCTCATATCCACCTGAACAAATAAATAACGTTGAAGTATCGGTTGAAGTCGAGATGAAGTGTTAATTTTCCAAGGTTATACTCTTAACATCTTCTTCGAGTCCCTTGTCACATTTATTTGAATTTTAATTTGTATCTGGAGGAGTTCTTCTAATTCGAAAAATGTTTTCTGTCAACAGTAAAAACACAAAGCTTCTTTTTATCTGACTATTCCACTCTTGATCTCGAGAACCAATCAGAATCGACCATATTCACGGTTTCTTCTGTATTCCAGCGATATTTTTTGTTTATTAAATTTTATCGGACTTGCTCTACCAATACAGAAGCCGAATTGACCCACTAGTGACCAACAAACCTCGTTTATCAGCGATAAAATTTTGACATCCTGTCTGGTCAAGCAAGATTGCTTTGGATTCAAATCTGAGACAATAACCTAAGTTCCTACTTTATTTTATTTACTTATAATTTGTGTTAGTGAGACATTTTGTACGAAAGGCGAGAAAATGTTACTCTGGCTGGACGTTTCTAAAAAGTTTACATATTTGTTGGCGGTCTGACAACAATACTATATTATATTCAGATACACAATTCATTGAACATTTCAGATAGAATATATTTTCCATTTCTCTAGAGAGGGTTTCCAGAGATGTTCTCAGAGGTTCTCGTCTGCCGTCTTCGGGTTTTCATAATTTCTGAACCGTTCTGAAACAGTCCTAGCCTAGGATTCGAAACAACTGCGCACTAGTTCTACGCAGTTCGAAAACGATTCTTGAACAGTTCTGAAATCGGAACCCGAATGAACCTTATATTGAGTGTTCCTTTCTGCGCTTGCAGGCGACAAATTCCGATTGGTTCTTGCCACCACCCTTCGAGAAGACGGGTATGCGGACGCGGGCGATTGGAACCCCCAAGGGCTGGAGAATGAGGGTTCTAGGGCCGACAGCTTCGAGTACGTGATGGCCGGCAAGGTTTACAGGATCGAGGGGGACGAAGCTGCCAATGAACCGTCCAGTAGGCTGTGAGTATACAAGAAAAAAATAACCTAAAATCATCTCCACGACATTTCAATATGATCAAACGATCAAATCAAAATTAGTTCACTCGCCTATTGCGAATAGGGACTTTCATGAGACGAATAAGATGAAATATACAGAGTTCTTCTTGAAAGAACAAAGTTATTGTCATATTTCCGGTTCACTGCAAACATTTGTGTATGTTTAAAAATTAACCCTCATCGATTAGATAACGCTTGTGAATTTCAAAATGTTCTCTCTAAATATCTGTAACAGCCTCCTCTGCCACTCTGTATAATTTTGACGATCGAACTAATCCGAGCATCATTAAAATTATTATTCAATTCAGGTTCTCGGTAATCTCGATATAATCATGTACTCCAAGGTCGCTTGTTGGTAAAATTCGCACGTGTGTATACGAAATCCGTGATTTATAGTGACCTCTACCTTGCTATTTCGACGACGGCTGATCGCAGTTTGCCATGAAACTCACGCGTCCCAAATGTACCAATTTGATTGTTTACAAGGGCGAAATATTCCAAAATGTATGCCATGAAAATTGAATCACACACGTCTAGTACAGAACAAATTTATTTTATTTCAAGAAAATATATTTTTTCATTCACTAAAAAATACTTACAATGAATAAGTAGGAATGAATAAGCAGTGCCGGTTTTACCATGGTCTTTTGGGTGCTATAGCACCGGGCGGCAAAATCTTCAGGGCGACTAAATGAAAATACAACTGCACATCTTTTATCATCAGTCATTATCTGGATAATTTGATTTTTTACGCGAAAGATTTGATCACTACACTACCTATATAAACTGAAATTTATGTTAAGAAGTGACTCATCCCAAAAAAAGCACAATTAGGAGAAAAAATGCAAAAAGTTCAAATCAGAGAGAAAAATGCCGGACACAGTGTTTTATTTCAAGTTGCAGCTTTGAAATTTTTCGTCGGACTTCCTTCCACCTACAAATCTTGTTCAGAATCATTTGACTTTCTGTTCAAGATATTATCAGCATATCAGCAGAGGATGGAAATTTGATCGAATTGGCACTCCTATTATATGGAATTAGTCCAAGTTCCACACGAGAATAATGTAATATAATATCTTCTTTTCCAATATGAATATTTGTTTCCGAAGTTTTTGAGCTAACAACTTTGTCTCAATTCAAACAAGATCTACTAAATGAAACTAATGAATAGAGCTTGTGCAGAGTATCATTTATGTTCCTAGTTTCGTACTTGCCTATCATCATTCGATTTTTCTACATATACCTATTCATTTTCCTTGTTATTAATTATGTGAACACTAAAGAATTATATTTTTAATTTTATAAAACTGGTGTGCGTAGAACTTCTATGGTATAGATATGTTTATATGATTATGCCGGTCTTATGGTACGCAGCACCCGGGACGCGAGTTTGCCAGAAAACGTCCAACGTGCCTATAGAATTTATTATCACCTCAAAAATGTGTGATGGGAAAAATCCAGGTGTCAGCTCGAATAGCAAATTCCGCGCCAGGTATAGGAAAAAGAAGTGGAATAGGCTAGGTTAGTGAGCGTATCAACAATAAAAATAGCGATCATTTATCTCTCTTCATATTCCACTCTTTTCACTGTGTTTGGCTCGGTAATCAAATTAAGGTAATAAACAATATCGTGTGTGGGAAAAAAAAGTATTGCTGTGATTATTTAAAAACAAGTAGGTGAATCTTGAAGGCTCTCCTGATTAAAAAAAAACTATAATATGGTGTATTTATACCTCCAGCATAGGTATGAAATTCCAAATCTGCCGAAATCAGCAACAAATCAGGTATGCGTCCCTACCCCTACCTAAATAACCAACCGTAACAATGTTGTTTATTCTTGATGACCTAGTTCAACTTTAGCTCCTAGGAACTAAAAGTGTTGACTAGCAACATAGATATGTTGTGTCAGTAATGTAAACGTCAATTCAAGAGCTAATTTTGGTTTTAAAATGGACGACTTTAGTGTCGGTTGCAAGAAAAAATAGTTTTTATGTTTTATCTAGTAAACGAAGCAAGATATGAGAAACATCCAGGAGACGAAAAAGTCGTAGTTTCAGTCGTCCTATCTCAGGGAATTATCGAAATTGAATTTAAGTCAGTGGCGTATATATTTTTATCAATAAATTTTATTTTAACACACTGTATCTTGGAAACATTGCATTCCCGAACCTACATTCATGGGTACTTTTTTTCATTGAATGATCTGAGTAATCACCCCTTTGAATATCGCCTTTGTCTTTGTCTTTTTCAAACACCTTGTATAGGTACCATAATCATTCATCGATAGAGAAATTGAAAAGATGCATTAACGATCGATTTCGTGTAGGTACCTTAAAGAATTTTTTTGAAACGGAGTCCAAAGAGTGCAAAGTTTCATTGTGTGTTGCTCGTGACATTGTTACCTTATGTGTTCCTTGAATCGTGTCGACAAGTGTTATTACGCCTGCCCTACGTGACATTCTTTCCAGCAATGCCTGGGGATTGAACGGAATCAAGTTAAATTACCCAATTTATGGTGATGATGATGATCAGGTACAGGGATCCACCCTGTGTTTTCTGCTATTTTGTATCAGTGAACACAGCTGGTGGTATCTCAGTGTCTTTTCGTTGCTACGACGACCAGAAAGAATAGAGAATGATGAAGACAGCTAATGAAGAATTGATTACATGGAAAGGCCAGTATATTTTTAGAAGAAAATCGATGTCGTCTGGGCAATCATCAGAAAAGAAGTGGGACGTTTTATGTACAAGTTTAGTGATTTTCAGAGGTATCGTTTTCTGGAGTTTATAAGTTCTTGGAAATATTTCCTTTGGCAAAGAATTCCGAAATTTTGTCGTTCTATAGACGAATGAGTTTTGGAAAAGAGTTGTTCGACCTAATTCGAGGTTGACGACAAAAATTAGTTGCGAAAACATGTTAGTGCAAGTGAAAAAAAATATATATCCAATAAAAAAGTTGTATATATGAATATCGCAAAGTACCAAAGGCCCAGATGTTGATAATAAATGCTTTTATTGAGAGGTTATATACAAAGTACAGAGAACCTAACAAAAGGCAGAATTCAATATCTGCGCATGAAAAATTCATAGTAGAGCTTGCTCTTCCATCCAACCTTCATAATATATTCATGATCATACCTAATTTTGTTTTTACTATACTACAAAGAACTATGATACTATAAATAAGCATAACATAAAATATTGCAGGATGCATGAAATTCACATTTTATGTTCATGTGAATATTTTTCTATATTTTGCTGAGCGGATTCATTCCAAGGCTTTTGTCACTAAACCTCTGAAACACTGTGTAAAGGACAGAAAACACTCCGCTCAAAATTAATATAAAAACGAGTGTAAAGGAACAGTATTAGTTTACGTAATAAGTCCAGATAAAGCAAGCTGACGCATTATTTATTATATCAGTTGATTTATTTCCAGAACAGGAAAACGAATTGTTTTTTTCGTGGTATGCAGCTCGTATGGAAAAAAAATAGTCCAGGTAAGTACCTTTTCAGCCACCTGAATAGTAGGTTACTGTGCGAAGACGTATATATTTCATATCCTAAAAGTCTTCCAGAAATCCGTCAAAAAACATGATTTTCCGACCAGGTACCTCCAATCCAATATCCAATAGTTCTATATATGTCTATTGTTTTTTCACAGACATATCTAATCGAATATGAATTGAATATGATTCTAGGAAACTCCAATTATTGATCAGAAAATGCGGTGATGGGTAGTTGTAACTTGTGAGTAATCCGTTATCCCATCCAAAAGTTCAATTAATACAGGGTGGAACAACGAAAACTTTCCGCCCTATGATCATGATAAGAGAATGAACAGAGCTTCAAGATGATGTATCGACCGTTCTCGATGATAACTCCTGAGGGGTTGATCGCTTCCACATTAGGGGGTTGACGTTGCGTGACTAAATCTATCACAGACATATATGTTCCCCTTGATATTGAAATCGAGTTGTTTTAGCGTTTCTGGAAAAAAATTACATTTCCGCGAGTAAATCAAGGTGGAACATTTTGGTCGAGCCACCCTATATATTACTCTAGATTTCAACTAATTCATTGAATCTACTTGAAAAAAAAAAAAAAAGAATATAGAATAGAATGTCTGTTCTTCCACCTAACCCAGATAGACATCTACGAGAAATAAAAAGGAAATTAAGGAGAAAAGAAAAAGACAATTGGTTTCAGGACAAATACGAATTTGCATGCAAAAAATCCATCCATAAATCTCACAAAACAACTATTTAACAAGATAGAACATCATTAATGATAATATGCATATTCAAAAACTTTCATTCGATGTGAACATTGAAATGTTTATGAAAAAGCTGATGTACAAATTAATCGACGACCATGATATCTTTTAAAATAATCACGAATACCAAAGGAACAAAACAAATGAGGGTAGACAATAAACATTAAGACAATTTGGTGACATTAACTGCTCATCTAATTATTTTATACCTTGTTAAAAATATGGTTTGCGAATTTTTAAAGTTAAGCTGAATATCGTTGCAACAAACATAAGGTTTGTGATTCCCTAAAAAAATTAGAATCCAAGTTAATTTCACAAATATGCTTGAATTCGAGCAAAGGTATACTCAACCGATTTTTTTATGATTGTTATGAACTTATGTCATGTGTTTAGGTTGAGTATAAAAAAAATTAGAAATTGGGAAGTTATTAACGAAATAAATTGAAAAACTAAAATATGTCTCAGGAGGCCAGGTATTAGGCATAACTTTCAATTATTGTCAACAACTTTTCTCTATAACAATTTGCTGAATTTCCTGAAATAAGAATACTTTACTCTTGAGGAATTTTAATATTTTTTGAAATGTATGCTGTTTGACTTGCAACCATTCTAAGTGCACCTGAAATTATTACCAAACATGCATCAACTTTCGGCATTATCTGTATGCTGGTTGTGCAATTCATTAAAAA